ATCATCCCTGTTCTTTCCTATACTTCTCATTATCCACACGGATTGCTTTTATGCTCAGAAACAAACATCAAATGTCAGGGTGCAGCCCCTATGACCCACGGGTAGAAGGAGGTTTCCAGAGCGTCTTGGCCATTCCTCTGCTTCCAAGCAGCTGACACCTGGCCAGGTTGCCCCTTAGGCTCTCAGAGACTTTCCATAAGCCATCTGATGCGTGGGGGAAGGGATCCAGATGATTCCACAGCACCTGTGCTCCTAGGCATAACCCACCCGAAGAATACCCCAATTCAGAGAAAAAAAATGGCCTTTTAAATCACAAAGTGAACAGTTAATGGTGGTGGCACAAGCCTATAATATAATCCCAGCTACTTGAGAGACTGAGGCAGGATGGTAAGTTCAATGCCAGCCTGGGAAACTTAGGGAGACCCTGTCTCAAAATTAAAAAAATAAAAAGGACTGAGAGTGTAGCTCAGTGGTAAAACTCCCATGGGTTCAATCCCCAGTGCCATCATCATCATCATCATCATCATCACAAAGTGACTTCCCTCCATCACATTCCCCCTCCAAGCCTAAGGCTGATTTGCAGATCTCACTCATTTTTCTTTCTGTACCTCCAGCAGCTTGTGATTTCTCTTCCTGCTCTAGCCTCTTACATCACAGGTAGGAGGACAAGAGTCTGGATTGGGAGGAGACAAGAGCTCCCACTCTCCCTGGGGAGCGGTTTCCTCGTCAGTCTGCAAGTGTGAGGGGTTGGGCTCCAGGGCTTTCTCCACCGTTGTTTCATCTCAGACACTCTAGGCCTATGACTAATACATCCTTAGACAGAGGATCTAGAGACAGTCTATCTCTCCTGGAAGCAGATGGAGACCTCAGAGCAACTGGGACCCAGAGGCCATAGATACCTGCTGGGGTGCAATGGCATATGAGGCACTTTAGTTGCCAAGAAATCCCAGGCTAAATTGGTGCCTAAGACAAACACACCCTCATCTACCAGATTTCTTTCCTTGCCCAAACTCAGCCCAGCAAGCCCAGCCTCCCTGATTCCCTGCCTCCCAGTTGGGAAGGCTTCCAGCTGTGGACAGAAGCAAGGTTGCCAGGGGTTCAACTGCCCACTGGAGTGAAGGTGGAGAAGGAGGGGAGGAGCTGAATGTGGGCTGAGCAGAGTGCAGAGACCATTGGCAAAAGTCAGTGGAAAAAAAATCACCCCACAGACAGCTTGGGGGAAGCTCATCCATAAATCCTTCAGCTTCTGGGGCTGATGCAAGATAACTGAGGCTGAAGGTTAAAGGCATCTGTAGATAGGCCTGGGTTCAAGCCTGCCTCTGCTCCTCTGCTGTTTGTCTGGGCAAACCGCTGAACCTCCAGAGCTTCAGACCTCAGTTCATCTACAGGATTGTCTATTGAATGGGGATAACAATAAACTCCACTCCTGAGAGACGACGAACATCAAATGAGATAGAACATATAAAGACAGCTTTATGCCTCACTAGGAGCTGCAAACACAATAAAAAGCCCTCCCAGGATCCCAAGCAGCACTGGCAAGAATCAGGATAAGGAAGAACCCACAAAGTTAAGAGTCAAAAGGAGCTTAGTGACCTTGAATCCAACCCCTTCATTTAACATATGGCAGGAAAGAGGTTGAATAATTTGTCCAAGGTTGCACTTCTAACTGGTAACAGCAAGGTTCAAACTCAAGTCTGACTGAGTCCAAACAGCCACCATCCCTTCACTTTACTCCAACCCATCTAGTCATGGGCAGCCTTTGCTAGGGTCTCTTTCTCACTGAGAGGGCTTTGGTCAGGGAGGTCCCTGGAGTAGGCACCACATTGCCACAGAATGCCACCAAGAAATCTCTAGGTGAGAAAATAATGAATGATGAAGATTCCCTAGAAGTAGGAGTGAGGGGAATAAGGTATCGATTACCAAACATATGGAGGCGCTATACAAATAACATGTAAAGCACATGCAAATGACCACAGGTTATTGATGATTCAACAACTCAAACATTTTTTTTTTGTATTTGTAAATGGAGCTCACACCACGTGATGTGAATCTCTCTTCTCCCCTGGCTTTCTGCCAAGTGGAAGAAAATAAGATTTGTGGCTGACTGACCAACCCATGCCCTGCTCCGGAAGAACCCACCGACTCCTGTACCCAGATGATCCAGACATGCCCACCTGTGCCTGGCAGGATTATTTCTTAGTGCCCAAGGCCACATCTACTTTTGACTGACATGTCAGGGCAGGGAGCAGGATGCCTGGGGATCTCTGGTTGAGAGGGGTCTCACAGACCTGGCAGCTTACTGACTCCAGCTGCCCAGAGGGGAGCAGAGCACACTGTATGTTCTACACAACACCTGGGCAGTGTCAGGCAAAGACCTAGAGTAGGCCAACACCACTGCCAGGAGCTCTGCTTGCTCCCCATGGGATAGGGCACTCCCAGGCACTGCTGGTGAACAGCAGTGGAAGAGCCACGCTGAGCTGGGGGGGCAGCTGTGGTCAGGCCCTGAGATAGAATGGGGGGCAGACCTAATCCACAGCAAGACAGCTACAGGTTAGATACCTGAGAGGCTTGCTTGAGGCTCACCTGAATGTGTTCTGGAAACAGACAATTCAACCAGCATTTATGAAATGTCTGCCAGGGGCTAGACACTGAGCTGGGTGGACATTCTGGACAATTCATAGAAGCAGACAAGACGTGGTCACTGCCAGGGTCACTGCCCTAGAGACACCAGTGATTCACCAGGGGAGAAGAAAGAGGTATAGACATAAGGTAACAGTACTTTCACACCTCCTTGGAAGAGTGTGTGTGTGTGTGTGTGTGTGTGTGTGTGTGTGTGTGTGTGTTGCTGCATAAGAGTACGAGAATTTGGGGTAGGGAGATAGGGCTTTCCTATCCAGTCCCACTTTGAGCCACCTATTCATAATGATAATAAAACTACTAACATAAACCTTCCATTTACGGCTTGCATATATGTCAGGCATAGTACTAAGGGTTTGCTTGTTTGGTTTTGCTTTTGTTTTGCAGTGTTGTGATCAAACCCTGGGCCTTGAGCCTGCTGGACAAATACTACCACTAAGCTACATCCCCAGTCTCGAGTGATTTATGTGTATGAGTTCATATTATTCCCATAATGTAGCAGTAGGTACTATTATTAATGTCCCCTCTTGTAGATGAGGAAATTAAAGTTTAAAGAGGTTAAATTAGTGACTTTCTCAAGGTCACAGAGGCAGACATTTATAGCAAGGATTCAAGCCCAGACCTGTGTTAGATTCTATGCATATCCATGTCTCAGCCCTCAGAAGACAGCCCTGCAAGACCCCAAGCTCTAAAGCAATAGCAGCTATCCCCTAAAAGAACACAGCCATCCCCAGGCCCAGCCCCACAGGGCAAAGAGGGCACATTCTACAGTCCGTGACATCTGTCACATCAGGACAGGGCCTTTGATCTGCCTTGGCACCCACGCAGCAGACAGAATTGAGGAATGGCCTTTCTACATCTGCAAACATTTCCTAATGCACCACACTTAGTTATAACAGTCGGGCTGCAAGGGTCAGCCCATCTAACGTCCAGCGTCATCTGGACAGGCCCCACAGAGACTGAACTCATGGGGCCTTGGGGCTGCATTCCTGTCTCCCCTGAGCAGCAGTCTTTACCCCACCTTCCTGGAGAAAACTGGTGATGGTGAGGGAGGTAGAGAGGGCAGAGAGATTGGTATCATGGTGCTGGGCATGGAGGCAGGAGGGCAGGAGGGCAAGATGATTGGATCAAGTCCCCAGCCTGCTTCCCCTTTCCCAGCTCCTGCCCTACCTCCCTTATAGGACCATGGTGAGAACAGGAAAAAAAAAAAGTAGCACAAAAAAGAGGCTTGGAAAAGTTAAACGTGTACAATGTGACCAGAGGGAGCACGGTGAGTGCCCAAGCCTGCCCAGGCAAGTTGCCAAGTGAGACCAGAGGCCCCATGTCCCAGATATGAGCGTCTAGGAAGCTACGCTGGGGACAGCAGGTGCCGGAGATGGCCAGAGTTTCCCATTAGAAAAGGAATCTATTGGTTACAAGAATGTAAAGAGGGGGCAAGCACACAAGGGTACCCTAGCAAGGCCAGTTCCTGGCAGTGTGCCCAGGCACTTGCTGGCACTTGGTGGCCCAGGCACTGCCTGGTGACGAGATTATGGTCTGGCAGGCCTGGGTAGGGAGACCCAATGTAGATTGGACACCCACACTGAGGACTGCTACCATCAGGCTCCCCACTCTGCAGCCTGGAAGCAGCACAAGGGCCTCTGCTGTAACCAACAGAGAAAGAGAGAGACAGTTTTGCAGCAGAACAGGAGGAACATTAGGAGCAGGCGCTGGCATTTTCCCCTCCTCCTGCCCGCAATAGAGATCCCATTAGTGGGAGTTGGACAGAGGTAATCAGACTGCTGGGTTCAGCAGGACAGCCCCAGAGGGTGGAGCCGGCTGGCACAGAGACACCTGGAGAATGTGAAAGCTGAAGAATGCCTTCAGGGAGACAGCCTGGGTCTGGTTGGAGAAGCAGCAACACAGCTGGCCCTAGTGTGCCCCCCTCACACATCCTCACCCCCACCTTAGCTTTGAGCTTTCCTCTTCTTTTTCCCCAGGACTGCTGTAATTCAACTAGTACCCCCACCCCCAGCACTCACTGCTGCCCTGTCTTGGTGTACTCTCCAAATCCTCCATCTCCATTTCAAGTCTGACGGGCAGCCTTGGGTTCCCTGGCTGCAGCATCTTCCATACTGGGATCCTGGGCACTACCAGGTTAACAATTCTCCAGCCATCCAACCCCTTCGTGCTTCTCCAACCACAGCTCAGCCTAACACCACGGCACAGAACACAGAAAGGCAGAGTGAGAGCTGGGGTGCAATGACCCAGAGAATACCTGCCTTGCTTGGGATCTTATGTTCTACCTTTCATCCTCTCTAGATGGCCCTCAAGCCAGGCAGATGGGGTGCTGCTGCCAGTACCTTTCACTGCTGTGAACTCACCGGAGAGGGATCTTGACACGGAGGTAACGGTCCACAGCAATTGCCAGCAGAGCCAGAATGGAACTCTGGGTGAGGATGAGAACAGGACAGGCCACCATGAGGCAGGTGTGGAAGTAAGTCTGTGGCCCAATGTTGATGAGGATGGCCAGTGGGATAACCAAGGCACCCACTGCCACATCAGCCACCGCCAGAGACACGATGAAGCAGAAGGTGGCATCCCGCAACGCCTGGTTCACCTTCACTGCCCAGATCACCAGCACATTCCCGGGCACGGAGACAAGAGCAATGAGCACCTCGATTCCGATGTAGGCGGCCTGGAAGGCCGAGATGGAGTGCGGCATGGCCGGCACAGGCTGGGCACATCAGCAGACAGGCACCACGGGGCACGAGGCAGGCACCTGTAATTAGGAAGCCTGGGGTGGGGAGGCCCGCCTAGAGGAGGAGGGGAGCCAGGCAGCCCCGCAACTCCCACTGCCCCGCAGAGATGCGCCCTACTTGGCACATCCAGTGCCTGTCCGGGCTGGCCAATGTACCCAGGCCCTTTTATGCCTAGCCTTTATCATCCCCAGAGGTTCTATTCAGCAACTTAAAATAGCAGCGCTCTCTCCGCCACTGGCTTTTGTATCAGGTGTGAGAGCTCCCAGCACACGCACTCCGCCCGGGTCCCCCTGCCCGCTCTGCCCACCCCTGTCCACAGAACAGGATGCGGGGAGCTCACCATCCTGCCTGCTGGCCAGCAGGGGGTCCCAGAGGTGGTGCCCAAAGTTCCCGGCACGCCGTGCCGCCTAGAGTTCCGGGGCCGCGCCAGGCAGGGCTGGGCTCTGGGCACCGCGCGGCAGCTCATCGTCCTCTGGCTCCCGCCGCAGCGCTCCCAGCCCGGCCTTTCAAGCAATCACATGGTGCGGCAGAGGCTGGCCCCGGGCGCTTTTAAAGAGGTAGTGCCCCTGTTTCGCACCTGGGACTGGGGTGGCAGGCGTGGGGCTGAGGGACTGAGGCCAGGACCGTGCCCGAGCGCGGGCTCCCCACTTCCTAGCGCGCACGCACATCTGCCTGCGGCCACCCACCTGAGATATTGCCAGTGCCCGTTCTTAGCATTCTCCTGGCCCTGCTCCAGCTCTGCCGGGAACCCGTGCCCACCGCCTGCCCCAAGGGGGCATTCCAGGCGCTTCATTCAGCCCTCTCCTGGACCCTCACTTGGAAGCCTCAGGGACGAACTGAAGCACAGACTTACCCAAGGTCACACCAGAGCTGACAGAGCTCCCGCCCACCTGAACTCTGCTGTCCAAGTGTCCCCACACCTCTACGCCTTCAGCAGCCACTCGCTCCAGGAATGCCCGGAGAATCCAGGGCTGGCCTGTTAGGTCCAGGGGGATGGGAGCGAGGGGGGACTCGATTGGGGCGCCGGCGCCTCCTTCGCCCCCGGCGCGGGAGCTGAGCGACAATCGGGCTCCGCACACCGGAGGGGGCGGGGGCGGCAGCGGCACCCGCGGGCCCCTCCCTCCGTCTCCTCCCCCACCCCCTCCTCTAAACAAAGGATGTGATTCTATGTGAGAAAAGCTGGGAAAACCTGAGTTTTTCGAAGGGTCTGATATGGGAACGCAGTCTCGGGACCGGACCGAAAGACCACTCGCTTCTTTCTCAATGCGACACGCTGGGAGCCCTAGTCCGGTCTCCAGAGACCCCTCCATCCTCCCAGCGCAACAACTCACCTGCAGGGCTCCAGAATGCCCCTCCACCCCAACCCCCCGCCCGGCCATGGGTTGGCAGCCCTGGCACTCTCCCCTAATCCTCAAACTGCTCTCCCAGTTAAACCAGTCTCTGCTTATTCTTAGGAACTCACATCCTCCTGCACACATTACTCCGCAGACTCTGTACTGAGTCACTAAATTCCTTTCTCATCCATCTTTCAGAGCCTATTAGCAATTACCATTTTGCAGATGAGGATGCTGAGGCTCAGGAAAGTGACCTGGCTTTCCAAGAGCATCCCTGCCCGGGTCACCCCCTCCATGCTGCATTTCTTTCCTCCTCTTCCCTCTTCAGAGCACAACACCTAAGCCATAAGATATCTAGTGCAGTCCCCTGGTATTTACAGATAAAGAAGCAGGCTCAGGAATGGAGGGGACTTCCAAAAGGTCACAAGACAAATCCTAAGATGACCAGCGTAAAAAAAACTCAGGATCCTGGTTCCCCACTCTGCTCTCTCCACTGTCCCTGCCACCTCCTGCCAGTCCCAGTTTAGGTAGCCCATTGGTGCTGTCTAATACCTACCCAGGCAAACCCTCGCTCATCATGGTGCCCTGCAGAGATTCAAAACTCCAAAATCCTTGTTTGTGCACATTGGTAAGGGACCCTAAGAGGGTGGGAGTACAGCTGGAGGTCCCCAGTGCCACACTGCCCCAATGTGGGACCTCAGGATGCCAAGAGAGGCATTCTGACCAGATGAGGGTGAGCCAGCTGTTTCTGCTGGGGGTTGTGGTGGATCGCAGTGAGGACCTGGGTGGGCTGAGACCTGGGCGTCTGGGAGGAGGGAGCAAACATAATTGAATCTTCCTTGGAGGCAGAAGAAGCCCAATGTGGAAAAGACAACTTTCACTTCAGCCTTCAGGGGGAGCAAGGAATCTGTGCCTCAGATAACAAAACTGCAGTATTCCCCAGAGTCTGCCTGGAGAAGGCTCCCCTCCAGATTCCCTCACACTCCTAACCCAGGCCAGCCCACCCCCACCACCACCCAGAAGCACGGGCTTCTGCACCCACCCGCGCCTCTCAAACCTTCCCTTGACTCAAGTCCTCTGTGACTCAAGGCTTGCTCCTAAATTTTCACTTAGTTTCCGAAAGGTCACTCATCTAGCTTTCAGAAAGACCCAGGAGGGCCCAGCTTGGGGCACGGATGGGTGATAGGGGTCACTCTTCTTAACTCTCAGCAGCATCTTCAGCTCTGAAGGGGACCCGAGCCCCGTGGACACACATACACACACCCACCCCCAGTTCTCACCCTGGATTGTCAATGTGTAGTAGAAGTATTTGCGTCATACCTGTAGGTGATTCGTCTGTTCCCTACTTCTGGGAAAATAAGCCCCAAACCGCCTCTCTTCCCTCCCTGCCTCCTCCCGGCAGTGTTTCCAGGCCAGGCCTTCTGCAGGGTCAGACCAGCCTGTTTGAGAACAGAGCTGACAAGACAGGGACCCTCTCAGAGGGCAGCTATGGGAAGAGCACGTTGTCTCCCCAGAGCCTGTAGCTGGAAGTGGGTGGGTCAGAGCTGAGCACAGCTTTCTCCATTTGGTGTAGTGGAAAGAGCACTCACTTGACTGCGAGTTGCAGGGCTGAAAGCTGGCTTCTAGGCCCTGCTTTGCCACTCACTGTGTGGCCTCTGGAGTCATTTTCCCTCTCTCGGTCTGTTTACTCACCATTCCAGCAACGTCTCTCATCCTTTCCTGCCCCAGTGGCTGGAAAATCCATTCCAAGCTGGGAGGGCCAGGCTATGATGGAGACTGGGTCTTTCCCCCTGGAAACCTCCCAAATCCTGGTTCTTTATGGGGCAGACATCAGGGCTGCAGAGGAGGTTTGAGGGGGAAGAAAAGGAGGGGAAGAGAGGAGGTGAGAGTCTGCCAAGGGCAGAGGACACTGTGGGAAGGGAGAGGTGGGACGGTGGAGCCAAAGTGACTGGCACTGATGCCGAGCCCCAAACTCTCTGTCCCAGGACCCTCCAACTAGATGACCATCCCCACACCAGGGTCCACTTGTGCCCACAGCCGTGTGACCCTCCATGCTTTACCCTGCCTCCTGCAGCCGAGTCTTGGTTTCCTCCTCTGTTCAATCAGTGCCGCCTCACAGGAGGGCTGTGAGACTTAACCCATGGGCTTGGCGGGGAGGGTATGTGGCACAGACATTTAATCTAAAAGGCAGGTAGACACCAGGACTACTAGAGGGGGCAGGGGGGAAAGGGAAAGCCAGTGAAAAATTCAGAATTATGAAATCTGCTCGGTACAGTCAGTGGCACTAAAGTTGAGGGCGGATCTCAAAGGTGCCAGGTTTAAGTGCCCTGAAGGACTCCTAATGAAAAGCTTTTATTATGCATATGACTCTGGAGGCAAGAGAATGCCACAGAAAGCATAGCCCACCCCCTTTACCTCTGGGTCCTATTTCTTTCCTTCCAAAGGCCCATCCTGGCTTTCTCAGGCTCCTCACACCAGCAGCCTCACCACTGTGCGCCTGGTGTGTGGGGAAGACACTTGGGGGGGGGGGCAACCCTGCTGAGCAGCCCTGTACTGCCTGCTTCCTGGTGCTCCCCACATGGGACCTCTCCGGGAGCCTGAAGTCATCCCTGCACACCCCTGAGGGGACTCCTTGCAAATGGAAGAGATTTGAAGAATTTCCTCTGGGGCTGGGGATATGGCTCCGTGGGAGAGCACTTGCCTAGCGCGCATGTTGCCTTGGGCTCCATCCCCAGCACCTGAAGAAAAAGAAATTCTCCATCTCTTTCCAGAAGCAGGCAGGAAACATTTTAGACTCCATCTCACTTCTCAGCCTTTTTCTGGGCAGTGCAGGAGGAGAACTGTTAGGCAAGAGCAGGCATTTAGGACAAAAAGATTCTGGAGGACGATGGCGCGGTGGCACATGCCACCTGTAATCCCAGCAGGGGGCTGAGGGAGGAGGATCTCCAGTTCAAAGCCAGCCTCAGCAAAAGCGAGGTGCTAAGCAACTCAGTGAGACCCTGTCTCTAAATAAAATACAAAGTAGGGCTGGGGATGTGGTTGAGTGCCCCTGAGTTCAATTCCCTATAACCTCCTCCAAAAAAAGATTCTGGATGGCAAGGAAGCCTGGGGCCCTTCCTCCAAAGGGCTGTCACCTGTCTGTCCCTGCCTTGACTTCCTAAGCTCCCCCACCACCCTTGGCACTCTTTTCCCACTCCGCCTCCCCCAGACTTGCTGTGTAGGTTTCTGGGCCTCGTCCCCTTTCTTCCCTCCCTCCAGTTGCCTTCTCCCAGGTCGGGGCTCTTACAGGGACATCCTGAGTCTGTGGGAAGGAGCAGAATGCAGAATGTCAGCACAGATTAAGTGTTCCTATATTTGTGTGTTTGTGGGGGGTGGGGTGGGAGGAGGACATGGGATATGGGAGCCATTTAGTCCAGGTCCCTCCAGACAGCACAACTCTTCCTAAATCCTCAAACAAGGGTGTTCCTTTCATTTCTTTTTCATCATAATTGGCCCCAGAACCATTTATTCGTGCATTGATTAATTCATTCTATTCAGCAATAAATATTGCTGACTTGGTTATTAAGCCACTTTTGTATACCACAGTGGGCTGAGCACTGGGCATATAGAGAAAACAAAGCCACACTATATTTTACTACATAATCGTTGCAGGTTTTATGCTTTTTTTTTTTTTTTGCAAAAAAAAAAGGTAGGATGTAACCATTATCTGAAGCTTTTTTCAAAACAAAATGGTGCCTGTATTACTTAAAAATTATTTATTACTAAACTGTCTTTGGCACAAAACTAAGATGCACAGAATATTCATGGATAGACATCAAAACTGAATAGTCCTTATCAATGCACATTATTTTTTCATGACAGCTTAGCAAACATTTCTCTGGTTTAAAAAAAAATAACACATTAGTTGTCATCCATTTCTGCATTATAGTCAAAATATTACACTTGAGAAAATTCACTACAGTGTTGAGAAATATGGACTTAGAAAATATAATCTTCCCAGCCCAAAGATTCTGCACCGGTTTCATTATCTGATGTGCTGTCCTCAACGCCACTCACTTAAGGTGTGTTTACCCTTGGGACTGCAGTACCCTGAACAGACTACCTAAGGTGGCTTTGGGAAGAACACTGACAATGCTCTAGCTCTGAGAATTCTTGGCTGTCAGTGTCAGAGGAGGCAAATGGACCTCCCTGTGCCGCTGGTGAATACATTGTTGCTCTCTTTATCATTTAAGGTAGAATTGAACCATGTGACCATTATGTCACCAAAGGTTATAAACCAATTTTTTGGATAGAAAAAACAGGGTGCAACTATTACGAGGTGGCAACAATTATGCTATGAATTACGTAGCCTCCCCTCTTGACCTCCAGAAAGAGTTCACGATCAAGAATGAGACATAGGCATCAAGGACCCCAAGGGCTCAGGGAGCCACCCCTGCTTGGGGCAGAGCAGCTCTGCTCTATTTCACAAATGGATTTCTGGTGTAAGACTTTGTTTGAACATGGATTTTATTAGCTCTGTGGATTGAGAAGACTTGAGGGCTGGGATGTGGCTCAGTGGTAGGTAGATTATTTGCTTAGCATGCATGAGGCCCTGGGGGGGAAAGGAAAAAAAAAAAAAAAACCTTGAAAATCTGAGCTTTATCCCAGCTCCTCCATGTACTTCTGAGACCTAGACAGAGCCAAGGTCTGGGACGGGGGCTAGGAGGTGAGGTAGGCTATGCTCTGGGCCCTGGTCCTGCCTTG